AAACGAGCCTTTTTTCGGTGAGTCACGTGCGGATTTGGGTGAAAGTTAATGGGCCCTAGGAGAGGCCAGCGCCTGCAAGCTTGTGAAGCCACTCGCTACAAACTTCATGTGGACCCAGTGCCTTACATCCCTATACCCGGACGATGTCCACCGTGCGTCCTGCAACGTTGTGTGGGCAGGGAAGGTGACTTACGTACAAATCTTTTCATATCGACGCTAGTCTTGTGCTAGGACTATCCCACACTCTCCTTCCCTCCCACTTATATGCAGGGTCGTCACAGATCTAAGAAGATCGCAAGCGGTTAGGACTCTAGTGATTGGCGCGGCGGGAACCTGCACCCAACCATGTCATCACCCGGGCTCGGGTCTCAATGGTTCTGAATGCTATTGCGGCCGCAGTAATTGAGAGACGTTGCAACGGACATGTGCGCCACATGTGAACCTGTCCCTCGTCGCTCACCACAAGCACGCACTCTGCACATCTTAAATAAGGGGAAACGTGCTCTTTGGCTCATTCTGCTTCGGGCTTCCATAGTACCATTACACCTCTAAGATCTCGAAAGTCCACGTTTTATGTGCTAATTTCTGGTGTCTTATGTTGGGGATCAGACCATGCATGGTACGCATATACGGACTGCTTTTAGCTCTGTCAGTCACTGCGCCCAATCCAAGTACCAGTTTTTTGACTGACTCGGTGTACTGGAGAGGAAAGACAGACTGAAGTCGACCGTCTGCACGTATTTATTACAGTAAATGACTTGACGCGCTTGAATCTATCACAGTACGCTAAAGGCTGTGGTTCACTGACCTAACTGTCGACCTAGTTCGCATTTGTGCGTAATGGTTGGATTGTGGACTGAGAGTTAGGATGCAAATGCTTCTTCTAAATACGGCCTCTAATAAACTTTCCCTCTGTCATGGTATTAAAACAATTTTATCCCCAACCTTGCATCTACCAATACTCTACTGACACTTCTTGTGAAGACAACATAGTTTTCAGTATGCCAACAATTATCAATGCAGCAGGAACGTTTTCATCTCTTGCCTCGCATGATAATGATTCTTCCCATCTACCTCTTTCTTTTTTGCTTTTTAATAAGTCATTTTTATGCACCCCTTACAACTACTTTCCTAGTCTGCGCTGCATCCCTTTTTCGGCTTTCAAACTTCTTTTGACCCTCCTTCAGTTCTCGATCTATATTTAGATCGACGCAGAATTTTTGCGGAATTGGCACTCAGTAGTCGTGTAGTTTATAAAAATAACCCATCTGTCTTTCTACGCATGCTTTCGACCTCATTTCCCCGATTCGAGAACGGGACTTCTGGACTTTTTCCTGACTTGATTATATTCGCTTCCTCAACCAGTTCTTTAAAACGGCAAAATTTAATCTTGGTTTTTTCCCCGTATATCTGCGAGCGTGTGAATCTTCTGTCTTTTTGTGTCAACATTTGTATAGTACAGTGGAGTGCTAGCAGACAAGTAGCTAGAATATGCAGCAAACTCTGCAATTCCTACCTGCAGGCTGCTGATTGCTGCGGAGATAACAACAGGTATAAGTCCGAGATTTATTGAAGGTAACCAGTGGGGTAGGGCATATCTAAGGTGAACTGTTTTTATTAGCTTAGTCATACAGCTACAAAATCCTCAAGGGTTCTAAATAAAAAAATATTTATGCACTACTGGCTTGGGAGTGCCCGGATAAACTTCGTTGATCAGGTATTTCCTGTCAACTCTTATCACAGAATAAATTGCATTACGACTAGTGACAGAACTTTGAGGGTTGTAAGGACTAATGTTTTCCGTCCAAGGGACAGATCCTCGTGATTTGGCAGTTTGGTTGCGGGTCAGAACAAGAAGTCGTTTCAAGAGCGCATAAGTTGCGGTGTCTTGTTTGCACGTGTATCAAAATGACAAATTGGTTTACTGTATGTTGGATATATAACTGGTCCACTAATCAGCTGGGTCTCAGGCACATGGTCATAAATAACCATGGCCGAGAAGCCACGCCGGTAGACGGACATGGGTTGGTACCTATTTGAAGGCGCAGTTCTGACTCAGCACCGACGTACAAGAGGCAACTTAGATCAAGCCTGAGGGATGACCGTATATTGGCGGCCCACATAAGGAGAGCTCGGTTGTTGTGGCTGTCAACTGAGAGCCAGACGTAAAAATCTGGGAAATTACAAAGTTATTGAGGACCCTAATGAGCACAAACGGTTTAGTAACTGCACTGTCGAGTCGTGGAATGGGTTATCACCAAAGGCCTTCTTTGGATCGCATGCTAGTGAATTGCGATGTCCTCTGATTTCTCGTGAAGCTCAGGGTGACTTCAGTTTTTAGGATAACATGACCAAGGAAGTAGACAGCTTGAGTTAAAGCCATACTGACGACCATGTACGGTAAACCCCCTCCCCGAGTACACATGCGCCCCTCTGCCGTTTCAAAAAACTTGCTCAATTAACGATGGCTAAATTTCTTCGTACTGAATAAATTTTTTAAAATAATTTTAACTGCTTGCAGGCACTGCCATTATTTTACATGAGTTCTTTCGTTTTTCGTGTGTCTTGTCATTTTTAGACCTTCTTATAGACGTACAGCCTCGAGGCAACGCTTCGTGACAGTTACATACCTACCTGCAAACCGTGTGATCCCTGCAACCGTTAATTAAATTTGTCAGGTTGCTCTGATGTTCATTTAGGTATTATCACGAGTTCAAATATAACCAACAAACCAGATTACTTAGGAATTCTTGATTCGCAGATAAATCCTTAGTTATTAATTTTAACTGGCATATCGGCTGACTCATTAAACGTGTTTCACTCACCTACCTGCTTGGCGCTTGCGATTGGCATGATGTTCACGAAGTTTTCCGGAATTTACAGTATTCTCGAATAACCCTTGACCCTCCTTCTTTAAATGTTTGAGTGGTGCGGGCGGTTTTTCGGTATTGGCCCGTTATTTATTAGCTTGTTCTTCTTGTTGTCCCGATGCTTGATCAGGGCTTGCAGTTCATAAAGCAAGATTTATTTACACATCCCTTAAACCCTGCCCTGGGGTGGAAACAGGGCGATGAAGAGGCCAAATGGGCGCAAAAAGCAATCGAGACGTTAGTCAAGAAGCTCAAGAAAAGGAAAGGTGTAATGGAACGTCTGCAGTATGCCCTATCACATCCTGGAGAGCCAAGCGAGTGCATTTCTATTCCCAGATCCTTAGATGGCAGGATACAGGTGTGTCTGCTCAAGAATGGGTCACCTTTTAGGTGTCTCATAGGAAAGGTTTTCCCCACGTGATTTATTGTCGCGTGTGGCGTTGGCCTGACCTCCAGAGTCACCACGAACTAAAGCCTTTGGAGTGCTGCAAGCTTCCGTTTGATTCCAAGCAAAAGGAAATATGCATTAACCCTTACCACTACAGACGAGTTGATTACCCTGGTGATTATTAACTCATTACGTAATTTTTGTACAGTTCTTCCCCCGGTGTTGGTGCCCCGCCAAAGTGAATACCCGGATATGAACGACGTTATGCCTCCTTATGTGTCTACTGAGGGATCTGCAGGTTGGTTTACCAGTCAGACTTGAAGTAAATATCACCCTTCTCCGTAATCTTATGACTTAAGTTAAACTAGTTGACATTTATGCCACTGCCGCCTTAATTATAGACACGTTTCCAGGACGTCATTACGGCCCTTTGCGTATCATTCTGCTGTTGACATTGGTTTATGTTTCGTATACTGCAGCTCAAGCCATTCCATATCAGGAGCCAAAGTACTGGTGTACCGTCGTTTATTATGAGATGAACACCAGGGTCGGTGAAGCTTACTTCGCATCCTCTCCCAGCGTCCTCATTGATGGGTTCACAAACCCATCTAGAAATTCTGACCGATTTTCTTTAGGGATTTTGTCCAATGTCAATCGTACTCCCACAATCGAAAATACCCGGAAACAAATTGGTAAAGGTAGGAATTCGACGTACAATTTTCTGGTTCCCTTTCTCCCACAGTTAACTATTGCATTTGAGGAGCTCGAGTTATTCAGAATGCAACATTTTTGCAGGTAGAATTCCCGACATTTTGTTCAGAAATTGACTATTATATATTATTATATTAGCCGGTTACGAATCCTGTTTCGTAGCTTTCTTTTCGAGCAACTGTCTGTTTTAGAAAGCAGATCAACAGATAAGATAGACAAGATGTAGGAAAGAGTATTTGACATTTCCGAATACTTATAAGGAGTGTCTACTATTGTGGGTCATTGCCATTAGACGCGGTGGTCCCAACTACGGTACGGATCCCAGCTGAGTATACGTGTCGTACTTAGTGGTACTCGTTTTGTGTTTAACCCTTGTTTTGTTATGTTTTAAGGGTCAGTTTGGTTGACCGCCATAAATATGCCTGGTATATAGCCTATCTCCAGTCGTTTTGATTATCATTGATGGCCGGCGTAGAATATATCCATAAAGGTGAGGTGAATATGACATAATACGACCGCCTACAGTCTCCTCTTGTGACAGGGACTACGAATGATAGTGGATGGGAGTCAAATATATCCACTTGAGTTGACATCGGAATATAAAGTGCGGCTTTTCGCACAATCTCAATCGTAACACCACAAAAGCACCTTTTCGGTTTTCGGCCCTGTAATTTAGGCGCTGAGTTCGAATATATTGGATTACTTTTCTAACTCGCAACAGGAGGTCACGGCCCTGCACCCAACACCAGAGAAATCGTATATTTAGCATTCGATGCCGACCGCTAAAACTGTTGGAACCACCGTCCTCAGATTTGAATTTACCATATCGGCTCGTTCTAGGCTTACTATCGCTGTGGCTATGCCAATTCGGGCATCGCTTCAGAGAAATGGTGTCGCAAACTGGTTCTCCCAGACTCACAGAGGACGTTATTGAACTATCTGAAACACTTTTCCCTTCACTACTTTGCTGCAAACAGTCTCTGGTCGACGGTGAAATCTTTCGCTTGAGGCTTAGTCCGCCAGTAAAAGCCACGGTATTTTTCAAAGACGTCAGTTGTTGATTGCGTCTTTTTCGCAAGCCAGTGCTCCACTAAGGTCACATTTTGCATTCACAGCCGCACTGCAATAGCCATGGTTTTGTACACTATATTATCTGGCTTCCGTTGAACCTATCGGAGGCCTCAGCCACTTTCCTAGACGATGAAGTGCAGCACCTAATTTTTATGGCGTTTTATTTCCTGCCAACCGTGACCCTCGATAGCGTAAGGGGATCCATATAGGCAAAACAATCGGCCTAGATCCCTCTGCCATCGGAGAAGAAGTGGAACACCCTGCAGTCTTAGGTCATAGGACATTTCCTAAAATTTCTGCTCTTTTCAGTTTCAAGCAAAATTTGCGGGACGAATACATAAATAGTGGGTCGCGCTTCTTAGGAGGATGTCCTCAGTGTCATGCCACAGGGATAGTCAACGTCAGGATGAGGCGGCTTATCTTTACATGATTATTCTCGTGATTGCGAAGTGCTACAGGCTGACCAGCATCTATTGGTTATTAAGAGGATCGGTCTGAACACCCTAGTTGGCTGACGCGGGTGTCGGTAATTAAATATTCGCTCTCTTCGCCATGGGCTCCCACATTTTATGCGTGAATTGAGGATATCCCTTCATCAAATTCATGAATTACAGGATTTTCCAAAGGGTACTGTTGCTGGCTGAATTAGAAATTCCACGGAAGCAAGCGATTGTCTACTAGCCAACCTAGTTTTGTGTTAAGGCTTGCCTCTAGATATGTATCTGGTGGATTTGTCTTCGCCAAAACTAAAGCCGCATGTTTGCTCGTCTCTACTGGCAGGGGAATAGTACAGAAGAATGCCACCACAGATCTTGACGGCGGAGTTGATTAAACTGGTATCTTCTTAGCTGCGATGTTTCCATTTGTCTCCTCTTGGGGCAAGAGGGTAAAACAACACCGTTCAAGTTTTATGTGACGGATGAAACCTGGTCGCTAACAGGAGCTTTGTTCGCCTCGCATTTCAAATTCCTGTTTAAGCCTACCACCACATACAGAAAACGACAAGGGTGACGGATGCACAGCCCTCAAATACTTGCATGCTGCAATTGATACGTCGCCACAGACACTAAAATATATATCTCACGTATTAGAAACTAGTGTTCCTTATCGGTGCGACCGTATCATAGTTGGTCACATTCGGACCCTTTGTTTTCGCGATTCCTTTGTCGGCGTTTGTAGTTGACCCGATGACTACTTGGCCATCTAACTTAATAGTCCGGTCCCTCGAAGCATCATACAATCGGACGTTTTCTGCGTGAGTACTTGCCCTGACCAGGCCAACGATCGCTACTTGATGGGAAGGGGGAAACCTTTGGGCTTACTGATAACGTGCGACCCAGAAAACCTTGAGTCAGGCAGGTCGCGAGGATCTCATCCTTGTTGAACTTAAGTATTTTGCCGGGCACCTTTGAATAAGCTTCAACCTAAGATTTCACATCACGTCTCCTCACTGCCATCATCGTCACGAGTTGTAATTCAACTTCCTCCTGTCAACGGCTGAGATTTGCGATAAGGTAAAAACTGTTAGTTTTTGGGGCAGTGAATGCATGGTGGCTATCGTCAATGAACACTGTAGCCCCGTGCTTCCACTACCGTTGCACCTGTTGTCTCGGGTAACTGGTGGGAGCAGGGATCCGAAGCGCCAGACGAACAAAACTACAGTTCCTGCGGGCAGGCTGCGTGCGAACGACGAATTGTCTCTATCCACTGAATAATCACTAGAGAAGATCTGGCAACTGTTTGGCCAATACTATATCATCAATTAGAGCAATGTTAATTTTAGCCACCGGATAACTGCTTGAATTTAGTTAGTGCTCACGGTAGCGCCTGAAAAGACAGCTGCATTTTGGATCTCGCACTTTTTATCCGTGGACGAAGACCGAGTAACTTAGCTAAGACATACAACAGACATTTTTTCTGTGTTAGCTTGCGATCATCGAGCTTTTTGACTGACTGGCTCTCTGTATCGCATTACGACGCAGGCGCGTGGTCTCACAAGCATATAACAATTATGTCCTGTCCGTGTCAGCTCTTTGAATTGGGTCGTCATTTGGCAATCACACCTGCTCAGTGTCTGTCAAGAAGGGTCGGTTTAATTTTTGTGAGAGTACTTCCATCTGTATATCAAGTCAGCAGGTGTCTTCAGTTACTGGGACGTAGTGTTAGCTCTGGCCATAATATTGTCGTCCATGAAATCAAGGGATCAATCGCCATCGTTGCACTAGTTGTCTGTAGTGCGTGAACCTTCAGTATAAAGTCGACTGAATTAGGATGAATTTCGTCACAAGTCAAGTAAACTGTTTACCGATGACACACTTGCGGAGTACGTCGTAAACGGCTGGGTTTGCCTTAATGTGCGTGTCCCAGTCCCCTGAGACATCTGCAATGTCGCTATAGGCAATAGAGGACAGGCCGTAATTAAGGCGCTAGTATAATCTCTTTTTTCTTTTACCGTCACCCGCGTTAAAGATGGATTTTGTCAAAATGTAGTGTATGTGACCACTTGGCCATACACAAGCGATGTTGGCGAGAGACAAAATCCCAAGCCCTCAGCGCCCTGTAAAGTACATGTTTGACCGAGATTGTCCTGCTCACCACTGACATAGAACCGTAGGTGATAACATATCTTTTGCATTGCGATTGCTCCTGGCCCTGACTCAGGCAGCCGGACTTTTCGCAGACTGGTAAGACACATACAGTAGGTGGGCTAACTCATGAAATGTCAACCGAAATTCCGAAATGCGTTTTCGATTCGAAAAGATTAATTATATACGGTTCTAAAACTAATCAGCCTGCAGCATATTTCTATCATAATTCAGTTACTTCGGGATGCCAGCTTTCGAAGGAACTTCCTTCCGGCTGCATGCGAAAAGTACACGCCGTAAAAAATGACTACTTAAGTAGCATGCATTTTTCTCATTGATTTTCGATGCCCCTACAAGTCCAATTATATTTAATGGGAAACATGCACAAAAATATTCATTCTTTAGTTCATTCGGTAGATAATTACGTCTTATTCTACTTTTATACCCGAATGGGGAACACAATTCGGTTTCCAAAGAAGTTTCTAATTGTGGGACTTTTATATACCGTGAAATGGCCGTTCATAAATCTTCTTGTCTCTGCATTTACCGATGTGGCCTATAAAGCTAACAATATAGATCAAATCCACTGCTAAATTTCATGAACCCTATATGGTCCCCGTAGAGAAATGTGTGGTTTTCCGTACGCGGAAAATATACGGCTTGTAGTTTGGAAACCCTGAATGCAAGTGTAACGGCAGAGCGAGTTCAAAATTATTCGGGTATTGGAAAAGTTCTTGAAAACCGCATATTACCCTTGCTTCAAGTATAAGACTGGAAGAAGGCGTAATTGTCTACCGAATGAGCGAAATAATGAATATTTTTATGCATGTTTTCCATGAAATATAATTGGACTTTTAGGGGCATCAAGAATCAATGAGAAAAATGCGTGCTACATATGTAGTCGTTTTTTACAGAGTATACTTTTTGCATGCAGCCGAAAGGAAGTCCCTTTGAAAGCCGGCATCCTGAGGTAACTGAAATATTATAGAATTATGTTGCAGGCTGACTGGTTTTACAACCCTACTTAATTAATCGTTTGTAAACGAAAACGCATTTCGGAATTTCGGTTGACATTTCATGAGTTAGCCCACCTACTGTGCCTTATTTATAATGTGTAACGTCAATAAAAGACGGGCTCTTCGAGCGTTCAAAAGCTTCTGTAGGAGCATTATTCAGCAGGCCTAGCGTTCGCTCAGGATATCTGACCTCCCGGTAAAGGTTCGGAAACACCGGTTCCCGCGGGCGTTGCAACATGAGCCGCATTCGGCGTGTCCGTAAATTACCGCAGAAATACGACGCAGTGCGTTACAGGTAAGGTACACAGTCCCAACTGGCCGTTTAGTAAGGCCCAGGTTCATGAGGCGACCGCGATAGGTGAAGCCTTGTTGGACGACGATCACCATGCGACATGCAAAACCACCCTGGCATATGACCTTTCTTAGGTAACCAATTTCCGACATCGTTATGCAGACACACCTGAACGTGGTGCAGTTAGATTCTCGGCTGCATATTTGTCAGACATTACTTTCCATTCCCATTACACCAAGCCGGTTGCCGGTATAGGTGTAGTTCTTATCTACGCCTAACCACCTTCTTGGATGACTATAAAGGTGGAGCTCCCTACCACCGCCTACAAGAAGTTACTTTTGTTATTTTCTTCGCTGGCATCCTGATTGTTGACGTTTGAATTGCTTCAGTAAGAACCATCCAGTCAGTTGCCGTCAGTAATATTTGCGGAAATTACATGTGACTTTTCAGTCTTCCTTGATAAAACTTGTTGGTATTGGCCAACACAAGGTTTCGATGCATATATTAGTTCGGTGAACATATGACAAGAAATCCGCGTACCTTGGACACATTCCTGTGTGTCCGTGCTAGGCATGTGCGGCTCTCGATAGTCGCCCACTGCAAGGATTTGAGACAGGTATCAACAAAAGTCCGACCATATACACGTCAGGAACCGACCGCGTCTATGTTTGGGAGAAGTCTCGAGGGCAACACCACCTATGACACAATTCCACAGACTTACGCATGGCGTAACTTTCATTATTCGTCGCCAACGCGCCTAGGGAAGCTACTATAGCGACTCGAATGATTTTCCCTCGTGACCGCGGTTTTGTTCCGCCTCCTGCTACTAAAATCCATGTAGAAGTTGTGCGTCTCCGAGGAAACTCGATCTTTCCAAAGACAAGGTAACGACAGATCTTCCACGAAATTTCTTAGGCGACAGCTAGAAACCTCCAATTCTCGCCCCTCTTACATGCGCACGGTATTTCGGCCGCCACAAGTAACAGTGGTCACTACCTTTACACGAGATGACCACAGGGGTGACTTGCGCACGAATTTGTCGCGGAAAAGACTAACACTGCGTCTGACTCACTTCTCTTTTACACTGCCAACCGTGTTCCGCTGGCAAGATAAGATCGGGACATTCGAAGGTAGGTACGAATGGAGCGACGTAAAAAGCTACCTATCTCGTCCATGCGTGCAACACGCTAACTGGTCCTCGACTTCATAAGAACCAGGCCTCAATAAGAGGTCTCGGATCTTGCATAATTGGGTGTCTGGCAGGGCACATTAGGAAGTCCATGCAGCCTGGCCCTCAGTTCTGACTAAGGGCGAGTCTCCTTGTAAGTTGGCAGCACTTCAATCTACGACTTTATCGTGTTACGGTAGTTTCAGGTACATCCGATTTTTCCATATTGAGCAGTGCTCTGAATTTCCGTAAGGAAGAGTATCGGTTTCTGTTGAATGATCCCCTCAACAAGAGACTTACTGTTCACAACACGTTGCTATGGACGCCGTAGTATTGATCTCAACGGCGTTTTGCCGGCTGATGCCGAATCGTGACCGTCTGCGTCTGGCGCGCGTGAACTGAAAGCATCGCTTTTCATAATTCGGGCAGACAAAGAAACCGGTGATCAGTACACGAAATCTGAGACATCCTCCCACAAGTGGACACTGGTTGCACACGCACATCCAAGGTCATGAGTGGACTTACCGACGAGCATACCGAGTGTATCGTACTGGCTAATTTTAGGACTATTGCCGTCGTTTCCTGTCTGTCTTTTCGCGAGACATATCGTAGTTGAGCGGTGTTGTCAGGCGTTGTCCGTAGTTGCATATTATCTGCAGGTTTATTAGTACAGCTCGGGGAGTATACGACATGATCTGTGTATCTGTTGCAATATTTCTCGGGTACCAGAAGACCTATTAATACAGGTATAGAGTTGTGCTCGTTTGCCTCGGGCAAACTGCCTGGTATCTTATTTGAAACCTTGGAAGCAAGTGAAGACTGACGTTCTGTTTCACAGTCTGTGACTATCTGTAAACCTTTTTGAATCCGGAATACTTTACTCACCAAATTTAAAGAGTCAATTGCATGCAAGACAAGTAGGAATAAGTTGTGTGTGCGTGTGTGTGTCTACTTGAATTTTTACGGGTATTTAAGGTAAATGGAAAAGGCACACTTCTCTTTCAAATATAATGGGCGACATGCTCTGTCGAAAACCAGCCGCGTGGAAGTTGACCGGAGACCATGTTCCCCACCAGTTATTTATGCGATCTCTCCCGCCTAATTATCTCGCTATGTAATCCCAAAATAGTACAGTCACGTCAGGATGCCAGTTTCTGAGTGCGTTTATTTCGGTCCACATGCAGAAACAACACTCGGCAAACATGGTTACTTAAGTAGCTTTACGCTTTCCATCTTCGATACCGTTATAAATTTGAATATATGTTATAGAAGCGGTGCGCGAAAACGTTATTTCCTGTATTTACTTCGTAGTAAATTACGTCTCCACTCTTTATACTCAAAGAAATGACGACTGTCGGCTTTAAGGAGTGTTTCGATTTCCCCATAATCTTGTACGCAGTTTGCCATTATACAAGCGTTTAAGGTGTCCTGACTACAAGTTGTATACTTTTCGTGTAAAAAAATCATACATTGTTCCATACTGTTCGGAAGATACCATATGAGGCTCAAAAATTCTGAAATGCATGCGGACCATGCTGTATATCTTACAAGGAGTACTATTAAGCGGACAGATATGATGACATTTGAATTAACAGTTCAGTCTTAAAAATCCCGCGATTACAGATGCTTTTAAAGCCGACAGATACCCTGTCCCAGAGTTTAAAATTTGAAGGCGTAATTTGCTGCCAAACGAGTGTGAGAAAGTATTTCTATGCTTGTTTTCTGTAAAATATATTTGAATATATAGCCACATCTGGAGCCAATAGGAGAACTTCATACCACTTGAGTTATCATTTTTATCGAGTGTGGTTTTTGCATGAGACCGGAAATAAGGCGCATTCGAAATCCAACATCTTGACATGACTGAAATATTTTGAAATTATTGTATACGAAAATCAGTGTTGTAACCTCACCTAGGTAAGCATTTATAATGGACAACGGATTTTCGAATTTGGGTTAGAATTCCATGATATACGTCACCTACAGTGCTGTATTACTTTTATTTCTAAACCCCCAAGCCAACAGTCTTTCAAGCCTTTATCTCCCTCCTCCAAGGTATTCACCTCTACACCGTTGCCGGAGATACGTACATCGAATGTCTTTCAGACAGCAGTGTCTTTGTGCAGTCGAGACTGTGTAGTGAGACGCACGGTTTTCATCCGACCACTGTTGTCAAGATTCCGCCAGCCTGCTCTCTCAGGGTTTTCAGTAACCGGGAGTTTGCCCGCATCCTACACCTCACCGTCCCACTGGGAGTGGAAGCTGTCTACGACATCGTCAAGATGTGTACCATTCGCCTGAGTTTCGTAAAGGGCTGGGGTGCTGAATACCACCGACAAGACGTAACTTCAACACCCTGTTGGATTGAGGTTCATCTGAGGGGACCGCTCTTTTGGTTAGACCGGGTCCTGCGTCAAATGGGCCCGTCTCAGAATCCTGTTTCTTCGGTGTCCTGAAAACCGACGTTTTTAATTTTATTTTTTTTCTGTTAGGCTTGTTGATCTCTCCCATTCCTAAAATCTGGTAGTTTGCTTTCTTACTGTGATAAAAAACGAACTCTCCGGTAGCCGCATTTGATTAATGACAATCGATTACTTCCACCAAAATAGCTCGACATTCGGATCTTGTAAATTTCTGACCGGTCTGATATTTTATTCTTCAGTAATTCACTTAAGGCAATTTTGCCTCACCCGACGATCTGCCTTCTTCCTAACAGTCAATTAATTTTTTCCACGGTTACTGTGAAGACCTTTTTGCCCAGTCGGATGCCATATGATAATTATCACGTTATCTTTGCACTGCTTATTTCATAACTTAATGTGTATCCTGGTCATCTGTATGCTTTAATCTTTTTTTGTGTTTTTCCTCGATCAAAGTATCCTCCGAGTTGGATCTGCTTGCTCTTTTTATTTTACGGTGGCCGAAAAACAAACCATTGTCGCATCCGGGTCTACCACTAGATGGAGGCTAAGGTGAAAGCCGTTCCTGCCTGCGTTGTCCGTTTGACCTTTCTCCCTCATTGTTAAGTTTGTTGAAGTCCCAACTCTGATTGAGTCACCATTAAGTCAGAATCTGTGCAAAATCCCATCCAGGTTGTCAGCTATGTGCGTCTAGGCAAAGTCCGGTTTTCAGCCGGTTCTAATGTAATATTCGTTCACCAGTTTAGGCGCTTAATGCCTGATGGCATCTAGGCTTCCGTAAAATACGGTCTGATCGTCTGTTCGTTTGTCATGTCGGATGAGAACCGCCACCATCTGGTATTTACTCTCGCGTCATCAATCTGATTATGAAGACATTATAGGTCTCACCCCACCTTCAGAACGTCCTGCTGGCAGGTCTGAATTGAGACACAGGCACAACGGCCCAGCGGGGATTCAGCTCCATTCCTGCGCTTAAACTGCCCCCTACCGAGCGAATAAATCAGACCAATGTGGATCATAAGGAGCGACAGCTGGGCCGTGGAAAGGCGGCAAATCTTGGCGTGCGCTAGTAAAGTTTGCGTGCAGAACAGCGCGTTTAGTGGGTTTCGCACTGACTGGGAGAAAGTGGACCCCAGCACCAAATACCCCTGGCCTACCTCCGGAAATCGGGGAATGAATGATAGAAAGACATGGGCAACGCTGGATAGACAGTCGGCATAACTCGCGAAACGACTTTTGGGGTTTTATGAGAGCTGTAGATGACGCCTTAGAACGTCTGAGCACACCAGGCAAGGGAACCCGTAAACATCTTTTTCTGCTTTTTGCATAGGTGAGGTGTGCGCTTCACTATCCAGGGTGGTACTGGGCCTCCCGTTCAACTCGAAATTACTGTGCTAAGACACTGCCACTAAACAATCACGCATCAATAAACAAAAAGCGGATATCTCACTCGAACTCAGAGATCTGTCGGCCCCAAGGTTGGATGTGCCTCGTACTTCCAGTATGATAAAATACGCGCAAATTTTTTTAAGGAAGCAGAACGCGCTTTAGAAAGAAATTACGCAAGGCACAACAATCGCTTGAGTCCTGATATGTTTCGTGTGGGGGGTTGGGGGACAGTCGACCGGTGCAGATTCATCGGTGTTTACGTGCCGCGGATGTTAGCTGGAATTCAGAAGCAGACATACTCCCTGGAGGATCCAGTGGCTGGGATGCTCCCGCGAGGCCAGGTCCGCCTCAAACACCAGACCCACACCCATAGCATTCCTCCGGGCCGAGGTTACATACACGGGCGCCTTGTAGGTGTTGTGACGTTGGAGCTTGTGGGACTCTGTGACCGAGACACGAAGCACAGGTAGGGCCTGTATCAAGTTCTTTGGACCCTGTCTCTCCAGACACATATCCTGCAGGTTCCATGCCGCGCCCTCGATGAAGAGGCCGTGTACGAAGCAGCCCTGTGGATTGCGCTCTTGGACACTCTTAGGAGAGGTTAGCGTGGTCACCGAAGTGGTTAGCTCGCTTCGATCCAGCGGCCACTGGTTCTTTCGACAAGCTGTTTGCACAAGGGCAGTCAAGTAGGATTCGGGGACATGCAGACCCGAGAGCCAGATGCACTTGGGTTCGCCGACTTCAATCTAAAATGGAGGAGGCGTTCATTACCAGTCATTATAAGCATTTCTTAGCGTGCGAACAGTAGAGTCAGATTATAAGACCAGGACGCCGAGGCATAACGCAACAACATCCAAGTCTTTGCGTGTTGCCATACACATTGCATAACAAATGTAAGGTAGGCAGAATTCGAGGGAATTTAACTATCAATGATGGACTGTCTGCACCATGCCCACACTGTTCGCGCATTGCGGGTCTTGGGTGCCCTGGTTTGACAACTAAGGTTTCGCCACAGCAATAGACAGGATGCTGGGGGATTTTACTAACAGCAACCAGGCGCCTCGATTGTGCCCTCCCTACCGAATCCCGAAGCGGGTTGGTAAGCCTGTCATAACACTGCGTCTGCCTTATCATCCCAGCAAATCCAATCGGCGGACAAATTGACCGGGGACTTATTTCCTCCTAGACAGGGGCAGATCCGTTAACAGTTTTGCACTGGGCAGCTTGCTACTGCCTTGAGTGGCGGGAAAAATATTGTCAACCATAGAGATTTGTGGATAAGGAAGTTTAAAATAAGGAAGTGAAGTAACCGTGACAACCACTACTGATATATCTGTCATTGGGAAAAACTCGTCATAAATACGCACATCCACAGATATAGAGTAGAAGGACTTTTCGGCGTTTCCTGTCAGAGTCCTACTTTAGAAAGGAAGTAGTTTCATCCTCCTCGAAAAAGGCCTTTGCTAAAGGTCTAGACACATGTTTCGTTGATTTTCATTCACTGTGTGGTGCAACTATCAAGCATTCGGTTATTCACTGAATTCTCTAGCCTTCCCTATGCATTCTGTATGACAACCCAGTTTTTAAAGTACTATTTTTGACATTGTCAGAAGTTGAGATGCAGATTTTGAGTTAAATCTTTGGAGCACGACTTACGACTGGAGCCTTAGGAGTTCAGCCCACGATAACTTTGCTATAGGTTTGTACACCAGGTTTTGGCGAAAGTGAAAAACGTACTTATAAAGTATTCCAATTGGACAACTGAATTACTAAATCCTGATGGACAGGAAATGCACCCGGAAATTTACACAAATTCGATAAAAAATGGAGTAAGAAATTTACTTAACCAACTCTGACAAGTACAGAGAAGATAGGAAAAAAATTGGGCTGAGTATTTAGTGAGGAAAAGTATTTAGTGAGTTCATGCATTGCATACTATCGTGCGTTCGCGCGTATTGTTCGCAGAGTTCCTCAGCATTGGCAGAGGCCCAGTCAAAACCCTAATCTGGGGAAATTAGCGTTTAACAACCGTGTCTGGATGAACTTTCTACATTTTCACGAAAGAATACTCCATCTGGAAAACGAGGTATTCGATGCAAATCATTTCATTTTGTCAAAAGGAACTGAAGAGTTCTACATCAACAAAGTCATCAGAATCGAAACGGCTCACTCTTCCTCTTAATTGTCGCCCCTGGGCCGCCGATTCCTCTTGCACGCTTGGAACTTTTCTCATCTGTAAGGATAGCGGTTGGTGTGGCAGGACTGACATTTGCGACATTGTCGTATCTGGGCTGTGGTGCAGTTAGGAGCGTGTCCAGAATAGACTGACGAGTGATTGAATTGACGTTTGATCTTGCTTCGGTGAGCTGCGTCCGGAGGACTTGGTAGGCTGCGGGAAGAGCCACACGACAATTGACGGAGGTTGCTATCGTGTATCAGGCCTCGAGTGTGTCCCTGGCTATCCGGTCATTTCTTCGACCTAAGACCGGCCACTAGAGACAACGGGTCCATCCTCCTCACTGTCCTTATGTGTCTGCGGTTGTGTGTTGATATTTGCAATGTAGTTAACTTCGCAGGAGCTACACTGGACACGGCAGATGACGTTTATCGTCTCGCCTCATGGCAGAGGACCTTATGTTTAATGATCAAATGTCGAATGATTAACTCCGGCCGGCGGGTGAGACAAGCAACTGTCGCAGAAACGCAGCCAATGGAAGGAAGAGTTCGTCAGACTTCTGGTTGTTCTAGTATTGACTTTGGTTTGACCTAGACTGCCTGCCGCCCTCAATGAAGTTGCCGGGATACCGGGTGGCCATGAAGGGGCGCTGAAGGTAGTGGAGCTTTGACCTTTTGTCGTCCAGCAAGCTGTAATATGTACCTGCTCTTTGGTGGAAATCACATACAGCTGCATTTGTGGCAAAGCGGATGCCATTCGTGGTCTGGTGTATGGGAGAGAGAGGAGTGAGTTAGGCCAGCACTGGAGAACCCATCCCCACGACAAGTCACCGTCCTCACCACGTGCACGTTCAAACCTATCGAACGCGTTAAGAGTCGTAGCTCTGAAGTTGTCAACTGACAGGATAACTCGGCCTTTCTCAGGACTGAAAATTAGGCTGCATGTCTCCCTCGTACTAAGTCCTTTATGGCATTCTGACATATGTGATATCCGAGTCGTCCTTACATAAGTCTGACACATGTAGTGGAGACCAGGTCGTATATGGTAGGCGTAAATGGATTCTTTAACTCTATCGGTCACTGCGCCCGAGCCCGCGTCTGACCGTCCCGATAGTCCTGCCATCAGAGAAAGCAGGGTGAGTGGGGAGAGAGTGTGGTAGATATAGCAAACGTCTGTCTCGTCAGGCTAATTCGTGCGAAAGTCCGCGGTTCTGCTCCCGCTCAGTGGGTCATACGGTGGACATTGTCGTTTGTAACGGTCGAACTGTTGGTATCAGTGACAGCTTAAAATTTGGCGCGTTAGTGGTTTTCCTTTACACTGTCGTTCTCAGGTATTCGTAAAGATTTTGATAACTAAGGACGTCCAGGGAAGGCATTCAATTGTCTATTTGGCCTCTTCTGTGAAAAGGATGTCCGGGAAACGGGATTCAGGCCACCATGGTACTTCCGGAGCATTTATCACTAGAAGATTT